TACTAAATAATATGTGCAAATGCAAATGACATTCAAAAACTACTGTATGACTTGGAAAACTTAATAATAAACACTTCCAAAAAGAAATTTTCGCATGTGATGCTTTATAAGAATCTTTTGGGTTCCTCAAAGAACCTTTCAGTGAACAGTCCTTACAACACATTTTAATAGCCTAAAGAACCTTTTGTGGAATTGAAATGATTCCATGAATGTTAAAGGGATAGTTCATCCAAAAATGAAAATTTGTTCCAAACCCGTAAAACCTTTGTTAATCTTCAGAACAGAAATTAAGATATTTTTGATGAAATCTGAGAGCTTTCTGACCTTGCATAGACAACAAGGCAACTACTACATTCAAGGCCCAGAAAGGTAGTAAACGTCATTGACGTCATTGGTTCAACCATAATTTTATGAAGCTACGAAAATACTTTTTGTGTGCAAAGAAAAACTAAAATAATGACTTAATTCAACAATTTCTTCTCTTCCATGTCAGTCTTCGCTGCGCATTCTCAAGAGTACCATGACACATGGTGTGGTGCTGCTGACACAGGAGCCGCCATTCTTAAGTAGAACGTCCATCTCTCTTAGTTTGTTGTCTGTATATTCTGGTTCAAATAAGTAAAATTTGGGGCTGGGCAAAACAATTACAAGTCATCCTCTCTGTCGAAATCTTCAGACATGTTTCCGAAGACTGTTTGAATGTACAGTGTGCATCTTCTTCTGCTTGTACACATAGTGCTGCGCATCCGTGTTCTACGTCAGAACGCCGGCTCCTGTGTCAGCAGCATCACACGCGTGCATCACGGTACTCTCATGAACACACGTTGAAGACTAACACGGAAGAGAAGAAAGCCGTAAATTTTTTCTTTGCACACAAAACGTACTGATGTCACATGGACTATTTTATCGATGTACTTACTACCTTTCTGTGCCTCAAAGGTATCAGTTGTGTTGCTGTCTATGCAGGGTCAGAAAGCTCGCAGATTTCATCAAAAATATTTTACTTTGTGTTCTGAAGATGAACAAAGGTCTTAAAGGGGTCATCAGATGCCCATTTTCCACAAGTTGATATGATTCTTTAGAGTCTTAATGAAAAGTCTATTACATAATTTCTCAGTGGTAGTGTAAAACAACACCCTTTTTACCCTGTCAAAAACAGCTCCAGTCCATGTTCCTTTAAATGCTAATGAGCTCTGCTCACCCCGCCCCTCCCTTCCGTGGGGTGACGAGCCGTTCTCATGAGACTGTTTACTTTAGCCGCAGAACTTGCTAACTGACGTTATTAGAAAAGGCGATTTGCAAAAATTCACAAAATAACCTTATATTCACTTCTTCTGTAGGTGAGGCTGGATCATGAATGATTCGCACAAACATAAACGCATTTAGGCAGATCGGAGGATGCATTCCTTTCAAAAATAAAGGTAATCCACTGCGTCTTCAGTGGCTCAGATGTCGGGAGTAAAAGACTACTGCTATCTTCATTATTACATCCAACAACAAAACACCTCAATCGCTTAGGAGACATTCTTGTCTACCCCTGCTCCGGCGGTGAAACAATGGTGGACAGCTCACTCAGGGCGGGTCTAAGGTAAAACGCTTGTGTCAATTAACAATCGTGGGAGGGGCCTGGGTCTGTGTGACGTCACACAGACAGGCATCTGAGATCGCCTCGATTTGAGAAAGGGGAAATGATTTAACGAGATTTAAAAAAAAAAAACACTGTGTGGATCTTTATCTTTATAGGGTGGTTGTGTACACACACTGCCAACACACATTTCAGTTCAAACAACCTTTAAAAGTGCATGTCGCATCCGATGACCCCTTGTTTGGAATGATATGAGGGTGAGTAATAAATAAATATCAGAATTTTCCTTTTTGATTGGACTATACCTTTAAAGGGTCTTCATGAAACCAAAGATGCCAATAAACAAAGTTAATTTTTAACAGTTCAGCCTTGTGAAGAAAAGTTTTGTTGTATGGAAAAGAGCAGCTTGAACTTTCTGCAAAACATCACTTTTTTTATTCTACTGAATAAAATAAGTAATCCCGGTTTGGAACAACATGAGGGTGAGTAAATGATGACAGCATTTTAATTTTAGGGTGAACTATCCCTTTAATGTTATATTTTGGATATCTGGAGTGGTAGTATTTGTATTCTCTCCACTGAACTGCTGTGATTTTTCAGTAAACAACATTCTTTCTGCATAATGAATGGTTTAATAAAGCTACGATTAGAAACTCACTTACCACTTATTTTCTGTTCACCCACAGGATATGAATACACCTGTTGATATTACCCACCGTATCATCCTGGGCTCTAATAACAGGCTCTCCGGCAGTATTTTCTTTTTTTTTTAATGAAAGCTGGATCTCAGGGAACTTTATGTCCTGCTGTGGGCGGCTATGTCCTCTGCACACGAGTGAAAACACCAGCCCTGCTGCAGGCTAAGCTCTGTTCGTCTCTCTTGAAAATGTAGCTTGTATTTACAGTGCCCTGTAGATCAAGCCATGGAACATGAAGCAAATGTCCAATCCTTGTTCTGTGCTTTCTAACTGCTGACTGATCAAGCATTCTTCATTCAGCCCCTGTTCATCAATTTGAGTTTGATGCGAGGTGACTTTCCCACAAGTCTCTGGTCTGATTCCTCTTTTCAGTGACCTGAAGAAACAGAAAGTAATATTTAATAAAGGATTTCTCAAATCAATAATTACTGTAGTCCAACTACTAAGAAACTCACAAATTAGATCTCTTTAATATCTCAATTGTCTCTAAGCAGCAGCACTAAGATTGAATGAAGACCAGCTTGCTGCTATATACTATATATAGTTTGGTCTGGCTTTGGTTACCCAGTAAACATGTTATATTAACATTTTGAAGCCACTTTTCATGACATTTCCAAGATAAATAAAAGTAAGAAACATTTCTCAAATAGTAGTTTGGTATTAGTAATTTTTGGTAATGCAAAAAACATACAATGCACATTGGGATTTTGTCGCATATTTTTGTTTACTTTAGTATCGTTTCTAGAATGTTTACCAAATGCAAATAACCTAAAAAGCAATGCCGTACAATTTTGTGTTTTTTTCTTAAATCTAGTTGCAGTTTGGCATGGATGACTTGTGGTTTTCCCAAAAAATGGATAAAATGGAGATTTCTCAAACTTTTTCAATTAATTGTTATCAATCTTTTTTTTTTTTGGTAAGGCAAAAATGTAAACCATGTCATAATTTGGTGACACTGCAGGAAAAAAATATAATTAAACATTGTATTGTCACACACATACAGTACAAGACCAAATTATTTGAGCTAAATTCATTTGTGGAAAGAACATTTACACAAATAGTTCACCCAAAAATGAAAAATTCTTTCTGCATAATGAATGGTTTAATAAAGCTACGATTAGAAACTCACTTACCACTTATTTTCTGTTCACCCACAGGATATGAATACACCTGTTGATATTACCCACCGTATCATCCTGGGCTCTAATAACAGGCTCTCCGGCAGTATTTTCTTTTTTTTTTAATGAAAGCTGGATCTCAGGGAACTTTATGTCCTGCTGTGGGCGGCTATGTCCTCTGCACACGAGTGAAAACACCAGCCCTGCTGCAGGCTAAGCTCTGTTCGTCTCTCTTGAAAATGTAGCTTGTATTTACAGTGCCCTGTAGATCAAGCCATGGAACATGAAGCAAATGTCCAATCCTTGTTCTGTGCTTTCTAACTGCTGACTGATCAAGCATTCTTCATTCAGCCCCTGTTCATCAATTTGAGTTTGATGCGAGGTGACTTTCCCACAAGTCTCTGGTCTGATTCCTCTTTTCAGTGACCTGAAGAAACAGAAAGTAATATTTAATAAAGGATTTCTCAAATCAATAATTACTGTAGTCCAACTACTAAGAAACTCACAAATTAGATCTCTTTAATATCTCAATTGTCTCTAAGCAGCAGCACTAAGATTGAATGAAGACCAGCTTGCTGCTATATACTATATATAGTTTGGTCTGGCTTTGGTTACCCAGTAAACATGTTATATTAACATTTTGAAGCCACTTTTCATGACATTTCCAAGATAAATAAAAGTAAGAAACATTTCTCAAATAGTAGTTTGGTATTAGTAATTTTTGGTAATGCAAAAAACATACAATGCACATTGGGATTTTGTCGCATATTTTTGTTTACTTTAGTATCGTTTCTAGAATGTTTACCAAATGCAAATAACCTAAAAAGCAATGCCGTACAATTTTGTGTTTTTTTCTTAAATCTAGTTGCAGTTTGGCATGGATGACTTGTGGTTTTCCCAAAAAATGGATAAAATGGAGATTTCTCAAACTTTTTCAATTAATTGTTATCAATCTTTTTTTTTTTTGGTAAGGCAAAAATGTAAACCATGTCATAATTTGGTGACACTGCAGGAAAAAAATATAATTAAACATTGTATTGTCACACACATACAGTACAAGACCAAATTATTTGAGCTAAATTCATTTGTGGAAAGAACATTTACACAAATAGTTCACCCAAAAATGAAAACCTGTCATCATGCATTCACCTCATGTCATTCCATGTTTTTACACTTTTGTGGAAACAAAAAGAAGTTTAGCAAAATATTCAATAGACTTTTTTTTCCCCCACACAACATAAGTAGACAGTGACCAGGAGCTGTGAAGGGTTCAAAATAATCATAAAAGTAGAACATTAGACACTCTCACTGTACGTCTTATTTGTATCTATTTTATTTCCCCTAAAGAACTTTAGGAGAATCAAATGAGACAAAGTTTTATATATGAAAAATTACAGATTAAGGCTCCATTTAAAAGTTCTCTGGATGTTAAAAGGTTTATCACGGAACCACCAATGCCAACAAAGACCCTTTTTTTTTTTAAAGAGAAAACAAAAAAAATTAAATAAAATAAAGAACATATGAAGAGTTCAGATGCAAAAGCCTCCAAGTACCGTTTGAAATTTTCTTCTAAAATGAGCATTTTTAATCAGGCTCCTGTTTATGTTCAGTTATTTCACTTTAATGGCGATGAAAAGAACCTAGTCATTGACATTAAAGTGAAAATACTGAACCTACACATAGGAGTCTGAGACAAATGCTCATTTTAGAAGAAAATTTAAAACGGCACTTGGAGGCTTTTGCACCTGAACTCTTCATATAAAGAACACTTTTTTGCACTATATGGTTGTTGTCTGGAAAACAGCAGCTTGAACTTTCTGTAAACCATCTCCTTTTGTGTTCCATTGAATACAAGTAAGCCATATGGGTTTGACATGACATGATGGGATGTAAATGATGACAGCATTTTCAACAAAATAAAAGTAGACAGTGACCAGCTGTGAAGATGCTAAAGGGTAAAAACAATCATAAAAGTAGACCATTTGATTTACTACTATACTATAACTGTATGCCTTATTTGCATCTATTTTACTTCCCCTAAAGAACTTTAGCAGAAACAACAGAGACAAAGTTTTATAAATGAAAAATAACTGATTAAGGCTCCATTAAGAGCCACGAAAAAGCAATAAAATTTTCCTCTGGGTTTAGATGGTCCCCTGAGAACTATTCCCCACTACTAAAAGCTTTAATGTCTTTTTAAAAGCCTTGAAACACAACACTCCCTGCAAGCCAAATAAATATTGCTTAATCTTGAGGTGACGTTTCGCCCTTGTTGGTAAGGCAGGATATTTTTCTTTATAGTCATAAACATGCGGTCTGCAGGCCTGGCGAGACAGATTGATTGATCAATGGTCATGATGAGATGTTGGTGTGATTAGTGACCGGACGGGCATCTGGCCGCACCAGATGTCTCGCACCCAGCAGCAGCTGATAGATTCTGGCCAGCTCATCGCTCTGTCTCTCTGTCTCTCTCTCCAGGAACACAACATTTCTGTCAGCATCTCACGTACACCCAGGGTTCTCCACCGATCGCGCTCTCAGCTCACAGATTCTCACTCAGACTTGCTTTCTCTTTTCTCAGTACACATACATATTTAGGACAAACTGCAAGATGATCTGTGAAATGAAAAAAAGATGGTTTCATATTCCACCACAATTTTGCCTATAGCTGATGTGAGAAACTGAAGCTATGGGGAGTAAAGTGTGTGTGAGAGAAACAAGGACAGGTCTATCATTATCTGCACTGTAACAGGCCCATCATTCATTTGGGAACAGCACGTACTGAGCCAATCAAGTTGAAATCAGTCAAATTGTAAAATGGACCAAAATGTATGTGCTGCTATAGTGTATGGCAAAACACTATAGCTATGGGTATTATACATTCATTATGCCAATGGTACAATGTTTTTGCACCAATATCACACTTTTATATCCACAAACAGTGGCAATACATTTTTGACAGACTATTTTGTTTATTGTTTTATAAAGTACAATTTTTGGGGAATTTACTATGGTAATACTGTGTTTTTTTAGACATGGTTTCATGGCAATACTGCCCTTTCAAAAAGTGCAAGTAACGTGGTACAGAGATGGTAATACTAAGGTACTTTGTACTACCATGGTACTGATATCTATACAGCATGATATGATTCTTCCAAAGATACCATGTTATTACTATGGTGAATGTCCAAAAGAGCATAGGACCAAGATGCAATGTAAAATAAAATAAACTTGTACATGTGCATCGTTGAGCAAAGTAGCACAATACCCTGTTTTCATATATGAAACAAATATTGTTTATGTATTTTTATACAGGGTGTTGTCAAAGTGCTGTTAAAAGCATACTAGTTAATAATAATATAGATAGATACATTTAAATACAAATTCTAAATTAAATTTAGATATTACTATTATGTGTATGTTATTTATAATGATCTATGAAACTAATTTCAAGCTTTTAAATCAATCTTGGGAAACCTAAATTTAGTCCAGTATTATTTTAGTATCACTGAGATAATATTACAGTTTCTATGAATATTTTAAATCAATTTTTATTTTTATATTTTCAGTTTATTTATTTTTTATTTCACGTAACATTTCAATAATCCAACATGCTCTTTTTTTCAGTTTATTTTATTATTATTTTTATACTTTACGATTTAGTCAACTGTATTTTGCCTGATTATGCGTTTATACAATCTGTTGCAAAAATTATTCCCCATCCATTATTTATTTTGTGAGATAATCATTACTTTTCAGATACTTGTGTCTTTGAACTGTACTTCTCTTATTTGTTCTTCACCCCTGTACATAACACCAACATTTATGAGACACATGGTGCATTGTCTCGCTGTAATTTATCATATCAAACTACCCGAAACTACTAGGCCTCAGTACTCCATAACCTTCACACAATCTGGGCGAGAGATTCTTAAACATGATGAAAAATGTTTGAAGATGTGCGCGCGCACACACACACACACACACACACACACACTTCAACCCTACCTGTTTGAAGGCATCTAAATATGGTCATTTGTGTTATCAGCGCTATTCAGCGGTCCCCGGGGAACCTTCTCCATCACGGGCAGTGAATGACAAGATAAACAGTCGGCGCGGCAGGACAGGCAGGGATTGATTGCGCGTTTGTGCGATTAAAGCGAGACAGAGGTAACATGCAGTCGGGAGGCAATTCGAAAATGGTAATGAAATTTAATGATGCGTGAAGATGAGTTTGGCTTTTTTGTCAGCGGAGAACACAAGAAATAAATGCTTTGCACTAAAGCGATTCGTAGCTGTGGGAAACCGTGGAACCGTTGTAAGGGGGAAGGACAACCGGGAACGTCGTTCCGGGTCTTGTGACCTGGAGGCCCATCAATATAAATGTCGCATGCATGTGCCCACACACGTAGGCTATACATACAAACATCTCTCCGGAGATGTTTTTTTAATGCATTGGCAGAGTTGAATTCATTTACAGGATATCTCTGGGACAAAGTAATGCCACTTAAGTGAATGAAAGTCGTTGATTTTAATGAAAGTGTGGACCTGCACTTGCAATACCAGATTATTCTTTGATAGAACTTCTTAATACCCTTTTGGTGAAGGTCAGAAAGCTGCCAGGGGGTTATAATTAAACTGATAAAATTACAGGTTTGGAATCAATATAATGGAACATAAAAATCCAGGTCAAAAAGAAGGAAAAGCCTGGAAATCTGTAACCATTAACTCACCCTCATGTTGCCCAATGTTTCCTGTCTTCGGTGGAACACAAAAGAAGACGTTTCACAAAATGTTCCATACGCAGATGGTGAACAGGATCTGTGAAAATGCTAAATGTTAAAAAAATAAAGTCACAAAAATACAGTAATTGCAAGTTATATGCAACATACCTTCTATTGTGTTCCACATAATTTGATTTCTTAAATATTTACATCATTACTTTTTTGTCCTTTAAAGATGTGAACTCTTGAAGGATAAGTTATGTATTCATTTCCAGGACTTGTGTATTGAGTATTTTGGCTCATTTTCCAGTTAAACTATGTTATATTAAACGTAACTCAAGGTCTGCACTCTAAAATACTCTTTATTTAAACAGGAGATAAATACAAATAAGAGACGTTTCGCCTTGCTGCCTTCATCAGTGTGACAAGATCTCAGTAACTCAATGATTATATGAAGACCAGCAATGACCCACAGGTGGTGGTAATTAGGTTTCCAGATTCACAGACTCCAGATCAGTTCCATCTATAACAGCAACACATTTCAACAAAAAACTTAAACAAGAATCAATGGGGACAATAACACGTCAGGCAAAAATATGCCATTCATAAACATTGCTCCCAAAAAAAATAAAAAATAAATTTACAAGAAACACGAAAGATCAAAATCCTCATTTAAACCCAAAGGTGGCATGGTCTTTAAATAAAACATCCCCAAAACGCCTCTCTTTGTAAGAGTCTTTTATCAATATCTCCACCCCGGCGAGGATTCATTATTTTCTCAATTCCTATACATTTCAGTTGTTCAATACTTACCACCACCTGTGGGTCATTGTTGGTCTTCATATAATCATTGAGTTACTGAGATCTTGTCACACTGATGAAGGCAGCAAGCTGAAACGTCTGTTATTTTTATTTATCTCCTGTTTAAATAAAGAGAATTTTAGAGTGCAGACCTTGAGTAACGTTTAATATAAGAAATAGGTCTTTGCACCTACAAAAGCTGGGAGAGCCCGGTGAGTGTTGAGATTCCAGTTAAACTATCTAAAAATCCTTGAAACCTGATCATTAGAGAAGCAACAATGCATAAGTTATTAAGACGTGTTTTGTATGATTCTTAGAGAATGCATCATTAATATGAATGCATTTTGTCTCTTTTTTTCACTTTGTTTATTTTAAAGGAACACTTCACCCCAAAATTATTATTATTATTATTATTTAATTAGCTGAAAATGTACACACCCTAAGGCCATCCAAGATGTAGATGAGTTTCTTCATCAGAACAGATTTGGAGAAATGTAGCATTACATCCTTTGCTCAGAAATGGATCCTCCGCAGCAAATGGGTGCCGCCAGAATGAGAGTCCAAACAGCTGATAAAAATATCACAATCATCCACAAGTAATCCACATGACTCCAGTCCATCAATTAACATCTTGTGAAGTGAAAAGCTGTTTGTAATAAACAAAGCCGTCAAGTTGTTGTTTTTTTCTTCTAGCCGTAATAATACTTTCTCCGCAGAAAATGTAGTCTCGTCTGAATCAGAAAAAAGATATATATATGTATATATATATCAAGATACAATCTATAAATATATTTTGCAGTGTTGCTTCAAGTAAATACATTTTCAGATAGATATTTTTACTTAAAGAAAAACACTAATTAAAAATTAATTAGTGAAACATTTTTGCAGTGCACATTATTTGTCTGATCAAAACTTACACTGAAAAAGAAATCTGTTTAATAAAATGACCCAAAATATCAATATCTGTAGTACTTGGAAGATATACTTACATTCCTTATTTCAGGTGATAATAAGGTCTCTGTAAGGTTTATGAACCATCCGCTTCACATTTAATCTAAAAACGACACCACCAACTGATGATTCACTCAATTACGATACTCAAATATTAACCTTTCATGATCTCTCTGGCGCGGTGGAGGCATATATGCACATTATAGCATCATTAAGCTTTTGGAACACACTAGCAATGTCAGTTTCAGTGAAAACCAAGGCCTTTTTTTTCACCGAGTTGTTTTCCTGGAGATAACTAATTATGAAGACCAC